GGAAAACATATGTTTGTATCATGTGTGCCCTGTAGCTACGCAGTCACTAGCTCATCCACTGGTTTGTGGTGTTGCTATGGTGAGTGTGTTCGTGAAAGCCCAGGTGCATCTGGGTCCCTTTGAAAACGTCTCTAATCACCCTTGTCTTGAAGGGTTCCTTTTCCCATGATACTTCTTAAGGACTTGCATACACATGCTTTTGAAGCCCAACATGTCCTGTGAGGCTAATTCACTTAACACGTACCTCCCTGTGTGGAGGTGGCATAATTGGTCCTATGTATCCTAAGTATGAGAAACAGATATTAAAGTGAACACATCATTTCTGTCTTTGTCCGATTCCCCTTTCCCCCAATCATCTTGCAAAGCTTTTTGAAAATCAAAATAGTTTCCTGATTGTTCCCTGCACTGATTTATTTGCTACTTAAAGACCCCCGAATGTGAAAGCTGCAATTTTCTTCATCTGTTCGTTACAATGCTTACAAGCTTGCATGACATTCCTCAAGTTCTAAGCATTGATTGAAAAATCCCCTTCAATTTCTATTTTGAATTACATTCTAACCTTTATTGAGCAACACAGACGAGGACAAGCTTGTAGTGAACCTTGAAAAAAGTGAGGAGTGTGTACTATGTGTTGTTACATTTACAGGTTTCTTTATTATATGGATTGGTTGTGTCCGTGAGAGCCATTAGGCACATTCACACCGCAGTGTACCACAGTACAGATCGCGTTCACACCGGAATAAGTTCCTGGGGGAAGGATTAGGCAAATTAAGCCCCTGACGTCACTTCTTCTTCTTCTGCTTTGGGTTTACTGGCAGGCCGCAAACAACTTCACGGCGTATACTGCCACCCGAAGTCCCCGGCCGGAAGTCCAGCAGCTTCTACTGAAGCCTTCAGAGTAAATCACCAGAACGCCGACACCTCCTCCTCTCCACCGCTCCCATGTTTTCTTTTGTGTTGCCATTAGTTAGTCTCTCTGCGTTTGTGCGCTGGGCTAATGTTAATGCTGATAATGCTAATGCGAGGATAATAAAATGGCGGCTTCACAAAACTTTTTGGGAGTTTTACGGGGCATGGTTTGCTAACCGCCCAGCCAATCAGACATAGGAACCTTTTTCTCCAACGAAAGTACCTGCTCTCTGGGGCGGAAATGTGGGTAAAAAGGTTCTCATGAACTCATTTTAGTTCCAGCTCTTTTTGGTGTGAACGCAACATTTCGGAACTATATCGGAACTAAAGTGGGAAAAGTACTGCGGTGTGAACACGGCTAATGAAAAGCCTCGCCTTGACCATGAGGATTTGCTTTTGTCCCAGTTTTTTAAGGACATGGTGTATAATCCAAGTTGCTATAATTGTTTTCCCTACTGTCAAAGTATGTGGTAGAGAAAAAACATTACTCTGCTATCCAGTACATCATAAACATTGATTAGATATACTTTATTGTCCACCTCTGAGAAAATGCAATGGTTAATGATACACAGATAACAAAACGCAATCATAAAACATACACATAGACAGTATACAGTAAACAATGGAGGTAAAGAGGTAGGTAGAAGACAAATAAATAACAGCTCAAACTGTGCCTTAAAGAGCTTGTTTGTTGATCTTTGCACACAACTTGGCACAGAGTTGTGTATTACAAATCCATCTCTCTGTCTTCCACTTTATTACTCTATCGGTCACCTTTTCTCGCTTCTGTATTTGTCTCTGTTCATTCGTCTTGTGTTCTGGTGCTTATTCTCCAGTTTGCCACTTTTTATGTCTCTCTTTATGTTCTCTATTTCTCTTTCTGTCTCTTCCCTTTTATCTACCTATTTCCCTCTGTAGAAACTCCTCGGCCGATGCATCACATCCATATTGTCAGTCACAAAGATTGGAAATGTCTGCTCCATGGTGATATAGTGTCAAACTCTTATCCAACATTATCTGATGCACAGGAGCTGAATTTATGTTTTATATATCAAATGCAGAAACATCCCTATCGTACATCAGAGCAGCTTTAACACCGCTATTCTTCGGTGATAAATCATTGCCGTTAGTCATTGCTGCAATGACTGTCGCCCAGGTATCTCTGCTTCCAGCTGCACGTATTAATATGAACAATGGAACTGGGAAGCATCTATATTATTATGATTGCTATGGTGTGACTAATTAAAATACTCTACATGGCTACGGCAGTTAACATAAATGAGAAATTGTGAATAATGTAATTATTCCAAACATGTTATTAACTTTCATGTTTCAGGGCGCTGAAAATGAAAAGATGATTTGAGGACTATTGGGAACCATCAAGCTCATTTGCAAGGGTTGATGGTGGTGAGGAGGGAGTGGGGTGAGGAGTCCCCTTCCTCTCCCTGCAGACTGGCGCTTGTTTGTTTAATAAGGGGAATTCATTAATCTCATTGGTATTCCAAGACGCTGGCTCCAGTTGTTTTTCTGAGCTCGGATCAGCAAGGTCACCCATTTGAATTGTGATGTATGAATGTTCAGAGTCTGTGAGGGAAACCTCCAGAAGGCTAGCACCCATTGTAGTTATTTTTTTGATGGATATAATTGGCGGGAGCACACTGATTGGACAGCTCATCTATCTATCAATCCTTATGAGATTTACGACTCTTTTTGCGCGTGTTGTATATGAAACAACTTAGTTTAGCTATAATTATATGTTGCTCTCCTCCAGTGTTTATGTTTCTGATGCAATGCTCCCTCAGCACATACAATGCACACATGGTTAAGGACCATTTGTCTTTTCATTTGACTGAAAATCAACAGGGTAAATAGCAATATAAACCCTTGATAAATAGGCCGCCTCATCAGTGTGATTGATATTCCTTGCGTCGCCTTGAAGCAATGTTTAATACATAAGGCCATCTGACAGAGCCCTTAGCATAAACTTTAATCATCAGCAAAACATGATAACACAGTTCTGGGCCCAAAGCCATACAAATGAAGTTCTGCTTAGAAATTAACAACTGTTTGCAGTAATGAGTCACAGAAAATATTAGTTGCATGCTATAAGTGATGACAACATCTTTGCCAAAGTGTAAAGACATTATGACTATGTAGGGAAAAGGAGTACCGCTAATACTGTAGATGTAGTGCAACCTCAGGTCAATGAGTTTAACTCTACCTCTTAGTATTGCATCGATAAGCAGACTTTAAGTTGGATCGAGCTGAGGCAGCGCTTTTGCTAAAGTGGTGTCCGTGTGAATTACAGTCCAAAGCCAAGCAGTTATTTGGAGTGTGGTCTTTTAGGGGCTGACAACATATGAGTCCTTAAACATTGTCTCTATTCATCACAATCAGTAACCGCAGATCACAAAGTCCTTCACCTACACGGATAATCCATCATCCTCATTGGAACAGTCAATGCACCTGTTCTAATAGTGAAAGCTGATTGGCTGGCAGATAGCTGCCTACTCCTGGCGCTTGGTTTGCTCAGAGCAGGCAAACAATGTCACTGACATTATCCACAGTCCACACCATATGAGAAGTGGAAGCAAAACAGAGCTTTGCAGGTTTAATGTCTAAAAACAGCAACACTGCAAATGTATAAAGGACACTTGCAAAGTGAAAATGAGGAAAATAAGCTCTAGTGATTTGTTTGCAAATTAACTAAATTGCTTCAGAGCTAAATCTTTAAAGGTATTTATAATTAATCAATGTTTTCTCAGGTACGTTTTAGAAAATGGTGTGTACCATCTTTACTGGACACAGGTCAACTTTTCAATAATGTGAATGTTCTATATATTTGAAGTTATGTTAGTTAGTTAGTTAGCCTTATCGGAATTAAGTCGATTTTAAAGTTAAGAGCAAATAAAAAGCTGCCATTTTCATCATGCCTTTATTTACGCCTTTAGTTAAATGTCAGCTTTTTAACATACTTAATGTAAGCGTCAACAACGATTGCTTTACTGCAGGTGATGAAAACAAGTGCCTACTGACCGCTGAGTGCTGTCCTGGGTGATCCTATCCTTTCTATTCATGTTATGATACTATGAACATATAGTCCTTTTAGTGAGTGCACGTGTGCTTATAAGAGTGTGTGTGAGTGTAAGGCAGTGCTGGAGATTTCTTTGTGAGTCTTCTGGTACGTACAAACTTCAAGCCCTCCTCTGGTGCCAGACAGGAGGGGAGCCCGTTGTCATATTTTTTCATCATTCCCTTCCCTGCCTTCCTTCAAGTCTCTCCCCTGGAAGTTGAAACATGTACGGTAATCAAAGGCTTGGCATCCGACAGCTTTTTGGTAACCCTGGTGCCTTATTGACAAAATCCCCTCATTTCAAGGGTGCTGGAAACCCCCCAGGTTTGTCTTGGTGCAGGTATGATTCTCCTTAGACACCGCTGCTTAACAGAGGATGGTTTGCCACAAATGTAGCTCTTCTCTAGAAGCCTTTTATCTCGTCAGAGCTGGCCACAAAGTCCTGCTCTGTCCAGCCGTCTCACCAGACCCGAGCATTGACATTAACACAGCTTTTAGCAGGCCACGGAGAGAGAGTCCTGCAGTGCTCTGACCGGAGCACTAGAGCTAATTCCCAGATCAGGGGGAGAGTTCAGGCTCCCTCGAGAGGAGATCCTGGCTGGCAGGCTGGATGTTTAGAGTATGTTGCAGATTAGGGCTTTGGCGAGTCAAACGCTGGATTAGGAGTGAATGGTTAAGAGGAGATTCCACAGGGTCTTAATAGTATGTATGTGTGTTCCTCTGTGTGTGTGTGTGGGATATTCTCAGTTGTAGTGTACAATTTGTACTGCTTAATGCTTCCATGAGTTGGAAAGGGATGTGGGTTTTGCTAATGACGCTACTTTATCTCACAAATCAATTATGTGGCTTATTGTAAAGAGTCATGTTACCTCAATAAGGATGGCTTAATGCATGGATACATGTGCTTAGTTAAACACACTGAGATTTAAAGCAACATTCAATTGTTTCTTTCTATCATCAATGTCTATTTCTGTAGTGAAAGAGGAATACATTTGGCGTTTCTGCTCCTTTCTCCAAGGATGACGAGCCGATCACAGGAGGGGCTGATGGCAGACACCACACCCGCATCCGGAAGTTCCTCAGCCAGCGGCACAAGAAATTGCCATGGAAACCGGAGGTAATACAAAGGATTATCCGTCCTTCATTTGCATTTTTCTGAGGCCTGCACTTGTCCATTAATTATCTTGTTTTTAACCCTCTTTCTTCCATCTTTCAGAAGGATGATGATGATGATGATGATGATGATGATGATGATGATGATGATGATGATGATGATGTTGAGGTCCTTTATGTGCTTTGGCATGTGTGTGACTCATCAGATAAGCCTAGCTTTTTTACTTAAACATTTTTATTTTTATTTAGCCGCAGATGTCTTACTCACATTTTGTTTCACTTTTCCTTCTACCAGCAGCTTGTATTTGAGGTCAAATAGGGATCCAGTTACTCTCTGGCGCCATTATCAGAAGAACAAAATGCACCATTAGCAGACTTTATTTAAAGGCACCTCTGACCTGTAGATTACAAGTTTGATTTGATTGATCCTAATTCTTCAGCTCACTTACTGATGTAGTTTACATACTCGCTTTACCAAAAGGAGCAGCAGACAGGGCAATTAAGCAGCGGATTTGTGATAAGGGAAGCTGCTGATTTGTAACCTGTTCGACAGAGTTTAATTACAGGGTTGTGTGCATGTGTGTGTGTTTAATCTACAAAAAAAAGATTCATTAGTTTTTCCCTACCTTGGGTAGAGTTTTAATATCTCTGCTGAACACTTCAAACAGTTCCAACACACAGCATGAGCTGGATAATAGGAAGTTATTGTTATTTTCAAGATGTTCACTTTGAGGGCAGCCATACCGAATGTTTTGTTTTTTACAGGAATTAGTATAAGGCAGGGGGGATGAACACAGTATGTTTCTGATAGTGTTAGTGCCAAACACGCTGTTTTATTTCAGCAGACTCTTATGGTTAAGCTAATCTTGACGAAACCTGCCTTTGCCTTGTTGCATTTCCTCAGCAACACAATATATCACAAAAACAAATTCCCATTAATAAACATAAGTAATCCTTATATTTCCCTTTTTCTTTTTTTAAACATAAGCAATGACAATGAAATAGCTGGACATCATACATATCGTAATTTGGCTTTGTAAATGGTCACATGTGGATGAAATCTGCTTTTTAAACATCTGTCGCCTGAACATTGGGGGCCCTGCATAATTGTGGAGGCTTATTTTGGCATAATTGAAAATGGTGCTACTTGTGAGCAACACATTGATATGCAACCGCCAAGTGAGGAATGCAGCCAAACAAGCCATCTGAATCGAGATCATGTAGACTAATTGCACAAATGTAAATGAATTTCATGGTCTGAGCACAGCGAGACTATTTATTATGAACATGCTCTGTTTTTATCATTTTCTATGTTCAAACCATTTAAACCAAAGGGTGCATTTGCACTAAAAAGACATGTACATAATTTCATTCACCAAACAGAATTTTTTTATTTATAGTTTTGATCGGGGAAGTGAAGCAGCCACAGAGGGAAATACATTTTGAAACAACCTCTCAAACTACATTTTGCATTAGGCGAGACTAGCATCAAAGCTCACTTGTAAAAGTAAACATTTCTTTGACTTCAGTCCAGCCTACTCATAAAGCAACATGCCATTCAGTTTGCTGACAACATGTATCCTCGAAGATCTCTTCCTCTCTTATCTCAGACTCCTGCTGCATCGAGGCAAATAAACCTTTCAGATAAAAGGAAGCGCAGAAGGTTTGCTTTCCTCATCCGTCCTAATTACCAGCACTAACTTGTTTTCCTGATGAACGGCCAAGATGGCAGAGGTCTGAGGGGCCACTGAGCTGGCGCTGTGAGAGGCGTAGACTCGGGCTGGTGGAGGTAGAGCGCTGCCATATGCCAGCTGTCACAGACTGCCAGAGGTCACCATGACACCCAGTAGCACCACAGGCAAAATGAAAGCATTGCTCATTTAATTTCTCACATATTTGCACAATTCAGTTTAGAATGTGAGTCTAGGGCTGTTATTTATACATTTTATATCAGTATCGGACATGAAACTACTCTTTTTACATCAGTTATTGTAATATCACATAATAATAATAATCACATATCTCTTCCTGGTTTTAAAGGCTGCAGTAAAGTGATCTCACTTAACCGACTGTTCTATCTGTTCTATATTTTCACTTTTTCTATTCTTTTGCTTTTACCTAATGTTAGTGTTCATATAACCAACTGTACTTGGTGTTTATACTCCTTATTGTCTGTGCCTATAAACATAAACATTATAAACATTTGTAACATCTGTATATTGTTACTAATAGCATCGCTTACAGTATGCTGTAGTACTGCACTTACTGTAATTTACATGTTGTAATAGTATATAGACTTACACTTCTGGTTAGATGCTAACTGCATTTCATTGGGTTGTATCTGTACACAAACATGACACTATAGTTTTATCTTATCATAATAACTATGTTACTGATGTATTATAAGTAAAAAAGCCTAAGCACAAGTAGTGAGCACTACACTGATGTTGCGTATAACGATATCAGATTTTCTCCACATCACCCAGCCCTTTGTGAGTCCATCCTGTGTTTGTTCTAGCGGGTTGTTTTCAGCCACTATTGGGGACTTAATAAGGATTCCCAGGTTCCCGAAGGTCACGGTGGATTAGTGTTGACATGCAGTTGGACATCATCCGTCCGTCAAGGACACTGGAAAGAGATCAGAGCGAGAGATATAGAACTGGGCCACTTTTTAAAAGTCAAGCATGAAGGGATAACCAGGCAGAAAGCCGCCATGGATCCAGAGAGAAATTAGGCATAATGAACAATTTGATCTAGTCACGATCAGAAAGAAAGTGATAGTAAGAGGGATTAGTGGCTTGTATATCAGGGGGACTATTAATGATTTCTCTACATGTGTACTAGTCCACGTTAAATCCACAGAGACATCATACCAGAAGTATTATAAATATGTTTCGGTGATGTTAATCCGATACTCAGGAGGTATTCAACTAAAAACAGTGGCCTTTTGCAAAAGATGGAGCATGGCAGGCTCCATGTTGAGTGACAGACTCAAATATCTCTCTTTCTGGCTTGTGTAGTGTAAAATATCTAAGCCACACGTTTGGAAAGCCTATTATTTACCACTCAAGAGGGAAGTGAGGGAGATTCTGTGGCACAACACTGACACATGACTCAGGTTGGAGCAGCCGTCACAGCTGGCTTCTTACGGAGAAACACACGCGGCGACAAGACTGAAGGAAATCTCTTTTTCTTGTCTGTAACCTTCCCGTCACCCTACAATAACGTGTGAGGACGCAGCAGAGGAAGTGTGATATTTGTCTCACCGCTCACTCAGTCCGTGTTTCTTTTATCTACCCGTCTGTCCAAAAAATTGACAAACATGAGGCATTAATGGGATTTTGTTTACTGGCCTCTCCTTACAGTAAATTCATGAAAATGATCGACAGCTTGTAGCAGGAGTGAAAAAATGATGCCCATCTTCAGTTCAGTGACTCATATTCCCCATTCATCCCCCATCATGTTATATCCCCGATATGACAGAAGACATGTAATTGTTGGACAGATGGCAGATGATACCATCCCTCATTACAATAGTTGATGAGGCTGTAATCTAGATCATGTGAACCTTGCCTTCTATATTTTCTGCTGTGTGAAATGAGTTCTCAATATCTCTTTCCTCATAATCTCCTCTTTCAAACCTCTGCACCTTTGAAACCCCTTTCTCTCCTCGCTGCACATACGTACTAATTCCAGTTTTCTCTTCCTCCCTCCTTTCTAAATTACTAATAGGCTGAGTAAGAGGAGATAAGCAGGGAGAAAGTCTTAATCTTAATGCTCTATACATTTACATGGAAAGATTTCATATAGCGATAACATTCCTGTCATAGTCACAGAGGGAATTACTTATGTCACGCATGTATTTGATCAACACTTCTCCTATTCTGTATAACCGAAGGAAGCAAGCTGAATGCTTTTCTATATTCCCAAGTGTGCCTTTGCCTGGAACATCCCGTCTCACTTTGCCTGTCCAAAGAGGATTTACAGTATCAGTCGGTGCTCCGAGCAGCCATTTGTCAGTGCCTCGCTGTCAACATGAACGCAGAAGGCTGCACCAGATTTTTGGAATAAAGAGATAGCGCTCGGTTTTACAGCGAGACCAGATGGGTCAGAGAGCGGAGTCATTAGAGAGCTGGAGATAAGCTAAGAAGGGATGTGGTGATGTGGAGGAAATGTGTGGTCTGAGCAAAATAGGCGGAAGCAGTGATGCCTCTTAAGCTGAGCAGTCCCTTTTATTTTCTGCACCCATCAGTTGTTGTTGTCTTAGTCAGCTCCTCTCCTCTCCTGTACACCTTTGAATTCCCCTCCTGTCTTTCGCTTCTTTTTTTTGCCTCACTCTTCTTATTTGACAGATGGCATTATTTCCATCCCCCTCTCGTGCTCCTCATCCTTATTTAACGACAGCTGTAGGTGCTCTGTGGCTTTGAAAGAGTGCTATCTTAAGACTATATGTAGGACAGTTGTTGTGACTACATATAGAGTGTGATAAGAGAGAGGGAGTGGTGGATGAAAATAAATATACCAGGTAGGACAAGTAATACTGAATTAAGAGAGACTGAGGACAACAGACAATTGGCCAAAAAAGATAAACACGTGCAGCCTTTGGCATTTTGAGCTGAAAATGTATCAAGTCTTTTTTGCATATGTTTATATAAAAAAAGTACACACACAGACAAACACACAGCCGGTGGCTGGGCTACCATACAATGCGGTTGTTTTTTGTCTCAAAGACGCTTTGACAGGTGAACTGAAGGATTCTTACTGTATTTCTAAAAACAAAATATTATTGTTATGCTCAATAATTGCCTTCAAATAGTTAAAGACCGAACCCCCAAAAATGTATATTCATTGATATTGCATCTTTTCTACATCTGCATTCTACTCCTCTTGAGTCATTGCAGACTCTCGGAAGCATTGAGGTGATTAGTAATGTATACTCTATAATACACATGGTTGTACTGCAGTAAAATGAAAAGTAGAGATGTTTGTATCAATCAGCTGAATTCGAATTGAAATGAATTTATGTGAATTGAAGTATAAGAAACAATGGTTTTTGAAGCTTGAGAACCTATTAGACAGCTAGTTGTCCATGACACAACACAGAAGACTGTCTCTTGTTTTGGATGAAATACCAGAGCACAACAAATGAGAGTGAAGGAAGAACGTGAGAAAGGCAGCAGCAGCCATTCTCTTCTTCAGCCAATTACTAAAAAACAAATGTGAGCTGAGACGGTTGTAAAAAGCTGCCATTTGAGCACAAGATACACAACCAAACACCCTATCGCTACAAACTGTTAATGTGAGAGTCATCCCCCGCTCCAAAACGAGGAATCAGGAGGGAGACAAAAAAAGCAAGATAGAGAGAGACAGCACGGAGAACTGACAGCCGACAGCTGAGCTCAGGGAAACTAAAGACACAGAGGAGAGAAATTGACAGCATTTGGCAGCATGCAGACAGAGATGGAGGGATGCAGAGGCAGAAATAGAGGGGTCAGAGGGAAGAGGAGACAACATTAGGGATAGTGGCACTTAGGGCATTAAGAGAAGGAGAGCAGCACTCACAGGGAAAAACCTAAATTACATAACCAGAGGAGGGGAGGTTTAGCAGTCAGGGCAGAAAAGAGATGAGTGTTGGGATGAAGAAAGAAATGACTTCCCTCCTGCCACATTCCACATCCTGTTAAGGCACAGACAGACCTCTCGCAGTGCTGTCATCCACAACATAAGACCCATTACACACGGCAGAAAACCCACTTTAAAGCCCCTGGCCTCTCCAGGGCTGCACAGGGATATGCGTGTGAATAAGTAGAGACTTTTAAAGCTACCCTCTTATTGCTATTTGACAAGAGGAGGAGGAGGAGGGCCAGGCCAAAAAGAGGTTTGCTTTTAAACCCCAGAGGATATCTATTAAAAGCTTTACATAAGGCATATTTACACATGGACTAGTCCCATCTGCTAAATCTCTCTAACCTCGCCATGCCTCCACCTCTCTGCCACTCCCTCTTTAAACATCAGTTATCTTTCTGACCCGCCTGCTTTCCTACTATTTTATCCTGTCAATCCTGCGTGTGGGGGAAACTTCTGTGTAGCAATGCAGTGGGAGTCACCGACTCAGGAAAGAGACACGGGAAGAGCAGGAGTTTTGATGTCAAACACTGATGGTTTATTATAGGAGCTTCGGCCAGAGAATTCACATCACAAGTCACAGCAGTCACGGTCTGACTGCACGGTAGAGTTGCCACATCAAATCTGAAGAACTCTACCCCAGACCCCTGTATTTAGCCAGTTCAGAGAGAACAATCAACATGCTGCATAACAAGATAGAAAGATAACACCTCTATCAGCTGGCGCCCACAGGCAGGAACAGGGAGACAGAACACTGAGAGCACAGCAGCCAAGGTTACAGGTGCCTGTGCTCAGTCAGGACAGTTTGAACTGATAAACTGGGTCAAAGTTATGGACCTTGGAAAATATTTCCCCAACACCGCAAATCCTCGTCTCTTTCTCTTTCTGTTTTTCATTAGCATCAGTCTTGCTGCTGAAAAGAAAAGTGCACAGAAAAATATAAAGAATTAATATCAGGAGTCCCACTGCTTCCCACTGACATGTTTTCTCAACAAAAATACCTCATGGTTAATGCATGAGCTGTAATTGCCACACTGCTGTCAGTGTGCAGGGCACTTAGTTCACCGTACAGAGGCGGGAGATAAACGAAAAGGAGCACTTGAGTCAGGCCGTCTGTTAGAATGCCTGTGTGATTTACCTAAAGAGCAAGACACCTTCCATCTTTCTCCTTTAAATGTAAAAATGTAGAGGTGTTTACTGTTTACCCGAGAAAGATTCCCCTCCTTAACCCAGGGCCAGCTCTAGACAATTTGCAGCCCTAGGCGAGATTTGAGTTGGCGCCCCAGCCAGAGAATCGTACAATAGAAAAGATAAAGATCAATAGAGTATCCAAGGAATACACAATAGAATGGGGGGTGGACGTCACATCCTCTAGGGGGGTCCGGAGGTATGCCCCCCCGGGAAGATTTTTTTAACATTTTAAAGGTCACATGTCATGCTTTTCCGGTTATTACCCGTCCCCTTGTGTGTTATGAAGGTTTTTCTGCATGTAAACGGCAGTGCCGAAGCGTGTCTATCACAACTGGACCTTCTCGATATGGCGCCGCA